ACACACACACACACATATTTATTTATTTTTATATATAATTTATATATACTTTTATAGAGATAATGTAGTGTTATAATGTGTTACAATATCATGGAATGAAGTACTGGCTAAGCCTGGTGTGGTGGTGCATAAACTCTGGAAGGCTGAGTCAGGAGAATCATAAAATCAAGCCCAGCCTGGGAAACTTGTCACTTAGCCAGACTCTGTCTCAAAATAAAAAAAATCTGGGGATATAGCTTAGTGAGAATGTACTGCGTTCTACCCCCAGTACTACAAAAAAAAAAAACGGTAGCATTATTGGCTATAATTTCAGAGAGCTCTCTTTTCTGATCATCTGACAGGTTTTGATACTTAAGACTTCTCAAGATGAGTGTGGTAGTGCACTCTTGTAATCCCAGCTTACTAGGGAGGCAGAGGTGGGAGAAATGTGAGTTTGAGGTCAACCCAGGCAATTTAGTGAGACCTAGTCTCAAACGAAAGAAAAGACTTCTTTTTCAGGCATTTTTAAGGAAGTGTCAAAGGTCAGAACATTAAAACTCATGGCGGCCCTGTGATCCTATGTCTGCTATTGCACAGATTTGGGAACAGGAGAGTAAGGTAGGGATTAGTGGAGGAACTGGGACTAGACCTAGTTCTTGAGGACTGCACAACCATGATGCTTTTACACTTAACTGAGAAGGGAGCTGCTATATGAAGGAATATGGTAGATAATTGGATATATCATTTGTTGTATAAATATTGTGTTTTCACTGATACTAGCTTTTCTCAAGGTACGGGCTTTTGATATATTTACACAAGAGCAGTATCTTTTCTGAAAGTAGGGGCTTTTAAGGTATTTAGGCAAGAATAGCTGAGTGGTCCTAGGAATAAAGTACTAAGCAGCCCTGGATGTGTATGGAGGGGTCTGTTACTGACAGAAAGACTAGTCCACTCTTCCTCCGCGATGCCCAGAGCAGTGCATGGACTGATCTGTGAGAGGTCAGAAGGTATAGAGAGCAGTATTACAACCTGGGGAGTACTGGGAGGAAGTTTATATCTTTATGCTGTATCTTAAGTGTTTCTTATATCCTAATTGAATACTCACTGATCATAGACATAATCAGGAACTTAAAGGCTGACATGATTTTTATCTTTTTCTTGGAGCTTTTCCATCATATAAAACTAGTCCATGACAGAATATCTAGGCATTGAGAACCAGCCGTTGTAGAAAGTGTAGCATTTCAGAAGAAAAGCGTTATTCTTGTTGTGGGACTACATCCCACCATGACTCTTCGTGCTGCTGTAACTATGAAGTATTTTTTTTCTCTACTCATCACTGGTGTTAAGGTGATGTTCATGGCAGAATTGGTTGGATGTTTACTTGAGCGGGAGGTGTTGGCACTTAGCCAGACCTGATTCAGTGTTCATCTTTCTTATTAAGAGGACACTAGCTCTTTGGAACTTGATTCATATAATTAGGTTTCTGGTTTCCTTTCAGACTTTCTGCTGACCCCTCTGTCACCCACTGCCAGTATGGGCAGTCCCTCATTCTGTGTTGGAAGTCTGGAAGAAGATTCTCCCTTTCCTTCTTTTGCCCAGGTAAATCCTTTGCTTGTGAAGCAGCCTAATGGTATTTAACCTGAATTCAGCGGCTTACATTGTATTCTTGTAAACTGGGCACTGGGCACTCTTCTAAGGGCTAGGAATACATTAATTTTAACTGGTCCTGGGTTGTAGGACCTCTTGTTCAGGTTCCTTTTCACTTGGGAAAGGGGGAAAGGTTGTCTTGGTTATCCTGTAACTATCCTAAGCAGCATCCTTGGGGGAGTGGGGTGGGGAAAACATTAAGCTAGTGAGACTTGGTATCAGATCACTGTATTAGTCTCTTTTAAACAACAAGCAGACATTCATCATTCATGCCTTTAGACAGCTGAGGAAGTTGGATGGACAGCTTGAGAACTGCCCCTGGAAGAAGTCAGTCTTAATTTCTATGGGACTAGTTTGGAATAATTGCCCTAAAAGTTCTTTAGAGTAGTTAGGTATGATAAGCCCATCTTAAGTTGAAAATATTTTTAAGTTAAAAATGTACTTGAATATCCCTAACCTATTGAACATGGTAACTTAACCTAGCCCACCTTAAATATGCTCAGAACACTTTTGGGCAAAATCATCTATCACACAAAGCCCATCTTATTATAATGTGTTGAATATCTCATGTAATTTATTGACTACTGTATAGAAAGTGAAAAACAGAAATGGTGGATACACTTTTGCACCATTGTAAGGTTGAGCCATTCTCAGTTGGGGACTGCCTGTAGTTGATAGGAATTTTTCTCATACAAAAATGGCAGTTAGGACTGAGAAAATAAGCAGAAGTTAAATTTTGGTAAGGAGTGCCTGTGGTCAGGGAGGTTGAAATCATTTGATGGCAGTTCTGGAAGTTAATTACTATACTGCAGAAGTTAAAAAGCAAGTGGCTCCCAAGAGTAATGCCAAATGCTTACATTTATAAAATTAGGTTTTATTGCTATTTTTTTCAGCTTTATTTTGAAAAACTCCAAATTTAAAGAGTTCAAAGAATAGTAGTATAAATATTCATACATTTCACTTAGATTCACCAGTTCTTACTATTTGCTTGTACTTGCCTTTTATTTTACATACAAAACAAGTTTCAGACACAATGGCCCTTTACTACTACTTAGGAGATACATATCAAATGAAACCATTCTCTAGGCTGGGGATATAGCTCAGTGATAGAGCTCTTGCCTAGGGGGCTGGGGATTTAGCTCAG